GATTTTGATGAAATTTATTGAATAAAATGAGTTAGTTTTTAATAAAATCGATTTAGTTTTGTTTGATTGGAATAAGATTTTGAGTCAACGGAAATGTTACGGTCTCGTTACGGTATCATTCCGTCGAGTGTTTTAACTGTTGGATCATCTATCTTATTTAACTACACGTGGATGCAACAGTTAAAACAACCGATGAGATGATATCATAACGTCACCGGCCATAGCATAAAAGCAACAATAATTCAGCCAATTTTTTAAACGTGTCTGAAAATCTATATAAAAAAGTGTGGATTGATTTGACAACTATATATATATATATATATGTTTGTGCAAGGCTGAAAAGATCAAAGTACTTTGCAGATAAATATAAAGGAAAAAAAGCATGGGCAGGCAGCATGTCTTTTTCCTATTTCTATAATTGAAAATTTGAAAAATATAAATTGCTTTTATTATTTTCCTAATAGTAAACCAGAAAAGGAATTTCGAAAGATATATGCACATTACTTTTTTACTTTTTATATATAGGGTTTGATTTGATATATGTTGGTCCCTCAATTTCCACTAAACTAAGCAAATGGACAAATTATAAACAATGGGAACATCATTAATTAGCACTGTTTCTATAGAATTCTAATAGTTTCAGAGTCGGTCCTGAAAAATTAGAGGTCCTGAGTTAAATAATAAATAGTGAATATATAATTTTTTAATTTATAAATAATTTATCATATTATAAAAAAAATTGAATAATGAAGATTATAACAAAATTATAAAATTTATATATAAAAAAAAGTTAACATGTGGTAGTGCCCATCTTTTATTTTCTTCCTATCAATTAAATTTATTTTCTGACAAAAAGAACTAGTGCAGTGCGTCGACATTTCCTCAAATTTGTAGGAACGGACTTGGTGAATATACTATTAAAACGTCGTGTCTGCTTTTACAAAAAAATAAAGTTTTCAAATAAGATATACATTAAATATTCTTTTTTTTTGTGTTACTATGTTTTGTAAATACTTTCTCTTTATATATATATATATAGATATAATGAAAATATAATAATTATAATGAATGTGAGAGATAAATAAATTATTTACTAATAATAACTAATAATTAAATGTTCGTAAGTAACTCATTATAAGAATTTGTTATTCCTTTTTATTAGACATTGAAAACATAATAATATATTATAAGAGCGAGAAAATGTGGTAAATTTAGCGAAAAAGTGACTAACATAATTAAAATTGAACAATTAATAGATTAATTTAAAAAAAAATTAATAAAAAATTGAATGTAACTATTCGAAACAAGTCTTTAACGGGCTAGAATAGACTATTCATATACAAACCTCATACTTATACAAGCCTATAACAAAGTTGTAAAAGCCAATTAATATGACTTAAAGTAGTTGGTTATTAGTAACATATCAAACTGAAAAGCCCAAACATAAAATTGGACTTTTGGTGCCGCTCAAAATTTGTGGGCTCCCTGTCCCAGGATCGACCCTGAATCTATTATTATATAAAGAGGGAACCTAAATAATTCTAAAATAGTAAACAAAAAATAAGATGAAAATCCCGCCTAAACAACTAACTAAACATAGTAAATTTTGTTTGAAAATTTCGACACATGCTGCTGGATCATTTGAATTTTTTGAAAATTTGAAAATTTTGGCATTATCCCTATTCTTCATCTTATTGTTAGCAATTTTGGGTAGTTACATGAACAAATCAATTTTAAGATGTTTCAAATTAGGTTTGTTATTATTGAAACATATCCACCTTAAAGTTTGGAAAGGATATCTTTTTTTCCTCTAATTAAATGTTAATTATTATACATGTTTGGTCTAAAACTCAAATAAAACATTTTGGAAACAAATATTTTTTTGTGATTAAAAATAAATGTTAATATTTTTTTTAAACAAATATTAAATGTTAATTTTTATAAATCTACAATTTGGTGAATAGAAGTCAAATCAAATGTTTCGTTTAAAACTTAAATATCTTTGGTGGATAAATAAATTTGCATTGAATAATTTAATAATTATCGAAATAAATGTCTTATCATGTAGAGATTTGTGAAATCAAAACTATTATACATGTTTCGTTTGAATTTTTCAAAATTTGATAAATGTAGTCCATATCCCAAGCATTTTAAATGTGTGCGCAATTTTCTAACTACTTAACTAAAACTACTGTCTTATGTATTAATATATTTAGAGACAATGATGTCTATTAATATATGAAGAGACAATGATATTTTCTTGAAATAACAACTAAAAATCAGAAAAAAAAAACCCTAAAGTATTTACTATATTGAGTAATATATTTTGCCAAAATTTAAAAAATTCCGCCTAAATTAATGTAATTAATGTACATAATTATTTTGATAAAATGTTGCGGTTATTAACTTTATTAGTTGTATGATTTGAATTTGGAATATAATATATTGAAAAAAACTTACGACTATTACCTTTATTAGTTGCATGTTTTAAATTTGGTATATATAATATATTGAAAATAAATAAAAATATTTTTATTTAAAATTAAATAATAATTATTCATAATTTGCGGGTCAATATTATTTTGAACGTAAACGAAATAGTCAATTATTTGTAGTTTAATAAACTATTCAATAACTTACGGGTCAATATTAACTTGGACGTAAACGAAATAGTCAATTATTTATAGTTTAATATATTGGTCAACTACTTAATTTTTTTTATTTGAATAGTTTATACAAAAATAGGTTATTTTAAGTAATGAAATAATATAAATTTTATATCTACACTTATTCTTCACATATGGTGTTAAATATATGATAAAATTTTATCAAAATAACTATTTTATGTAATCACATTAGAGTCAAATCGAATTTCTGAATAAAATTTTTGAAATAATACTTATTTTGAAACGAATATAATGTGATTTATTATCAGTTATGTGCACTACACGAGTTGTGTACTAATTTTAAATAGACATTTTTATGTAATTTTGTACAATTTAAACGTTATATAACATTTTTCATAAATTAAAATAAGTCATTGTATTACATATTGATTTCATATTTTTAAATTATAAATATTACTAAGAATTTTTAATTTATAAATATTAGTGAATATCTCTTACCCGTGCTCTGCACGGGACTCATACTAGTATAGTTTTAACCATCATACAATTTTTATAAGTGCATATTTGTTACTGAAATATTTTATTTTAAAAATAAGGTAATAAAATATGACATTTAATGATAATAAAATATTACATTATTAAAAAAGGAATAAAAGAGAGACTAAATAAATTTCAATTTAATTTTGTGTGTATTTGTCTAATAGAGTCACAAGCTGGTAGTGGTGGAAGCCGACGGCAACTACGTGCAGCCTTTCACCGTCGACAACCTCTACATTTACTCCGGCGAGAGCTACTCTGTCCTCCTCACCACCGACCAAAACCCGACCCAAAACTATTGGGCCTCAATCAACGTAGTTGGGCGTGAGCCCAAAACTCCCCCGGGCCTAACCATCCTCAATTACCTCCCACACTCGGCCCAAAACCTCCCCACCACGCGCCCGCCGGTCCCACCCATGTGGAACGACTACCAATCCGCCAAATCCTTCGCCCACAAGATCCTCGCGCTGAGGGGCTCACCTGCACCGCCACGCAGGCACCACAGGAGAATATACCTCCTGAACACGCAGAACATGGTGGACGGGTACACCAAGTGGGCCATCAACAACGTGTCCCTTGTCCTCCCGCCTACTCCCTACTTGGGCTCGATCCGTTACGGCCTGAAGCAGGCCTTCGACCAGAAGACGCCGCCCAACGGGTTCAGCCCAAGGTACGACGTGATGAGGCCCGGGCCCAACCCGAATGCAACTATCGGCAACGGGGTGTACACGCTGGCGTTCAACACGACGGTGGACGTGGTCCTGCAGAACGCCAACGCGCTCAAGGAGGGCGTGAGCGAGGCGCACCCGTGGCACCTGCACGGCCACGATTTCTGGGTGGTGGGCTACGGTGAGGGGAGGTTCGGGGATGGAGATGAGGAAGGGTTTAACTTGAGGGACCCGCCGTTGAGGAACACGGCGGTGATTTTCCCGTACGGGTGGACGGCGCTGAGGTTCGTGGCGGATAATCCGGGGGTTTGGGCTTTCCACTGCCACATAGAGCCGCATCTTCACATGGGGATGGGCGTGGTGCTCGCGGAAGGCGTGCGCCGTGTGCCCAGGATACCCAAGGCTGCGCTCGCCTGTGGGCTCACCGCTAAGATGTTCATGGGCCGCCATTGATTTCAAAATGATTGTGCTCAATTATTATCTATTATCTCCAAATTTATGTATTATTAGGGTCCCATGCACGCAGCAAACTATTTACATTTACATTTATCATTTGATGAATGGGCATTTTCTCGAACGCAACAAACAGCAATCACACCATTCGCATTTGAGAACGAAGTGGAGTCCAAGAAGCAACTTCAACCTTGGGTACTCCAACTAATGCGCCACTATATAAAACCCCCCGATCGATTAATAAGCGCCGTTCTTACATTAAAACACAGAAAAAAAAAATTCGTCATAACCGGAGCTATTAATTAAGGTAATCGGTTAGTCGATGGGAGGTAAGAATTATGTTAGTGCGGTGGTGGTGTTGGTGTTGGTGTTGGTGTGGGGGGTGATGGTGTCGGAGGGGCAGACACAGGTGGGGGAGTGCTTAATAAAGTGCGAGGAGAAGGCAATGATGTGTGCAGCCGAGTGTGGGGTCAAAGGCGGGCAGACCTCTTGTTACGAGGGTTGCGGCACTGGGGACATCGACTGCATCACCTCCTGCCTCGCCAGTATGGCCAGGATTATCAATTGATTTGATGCGTGGCCTCCCTGATCTAGTTGGTTCGTGCCGTGGGACTCAGGATATTGTTATTTGTTGAATAAACTTCAAGAATGGATGAAATAAATTATGATACACCTAAAAATTAATTATGCATGCTACATCATCTTCTTCTTCTTCTTCTTTTATATCCCGTTTAATTTGCTTTTTTGCATAATGAAATTATATTACAAGACGTGTTGACGGTAAAATTAAATATTGCTATGTCTATAAGCTACAAATCACCATGTAAATGTGAATCCCTACTCTCCTAATACATGGATTTCAAAGGCTGATTATTAATTTTAAAATATGATCGCAAAATCTTTATACTCACTGTATATTAAATGAAGCTAGCGGTGAGCAAATTATATTGCATAAGATCATTAATTCCAAAGGGATCATTTAGCAACATAAAATGTGATGCACACACACAGACTAACACGATCCTCTAGTTTTGTTGTTTGGTTGGCATTCTTTTTTGTGGGTGTGGCTCGGTTGACTGTTTTGGTAGTCGTGAGGTTTAGCTGCTTGGTTTAAGGGAAATTTTATTATATTTTGTTTATTAGGTGTGGATTGTTTTTATCTTTCTTTTCTTTGTTTTTTCAGTTAAGTGTAGCTGCGTCTGACAACCCTTTTACGTTATAGAGTTCTACTCTCCTTTATAGAGTTAGATTTTTTTTTTATGTCTGCGAATGTCTCATTGATGGAGCTTGTACTCTCTGGACTAGACATGACCAAAACGCAGGCCGGACCATAGTTCGATCCGGCCCGGCGGGCCGACGGGCTCGGAATCATGGACCCAGAACCGACACGAACACAGGTCATGCTAGGTCAATGGCCCGATGGGGGGATCGGGCCGAGCCTGACTGGGGTCTAGGCCCATCCAAATAAAAAAAGTAAACATTTAAAAAACAAACAAAAACATGTGGTTTTCCCAAGCCGGACCGGAGCCGGTCTGGCTTGACCCGACCCATCGGGCTAGTGTCGAAAAAATAAAGCCCTGGACTGGCCTGTCAAAATCCAAGCCGCCTGGACCCACGGTCAACAAGCTTGACTTGGGTCGGGTAGCACATGGCCACCTCTACTTTGGACTCATGTGTGCCAAGAGGTAGGTGAGGTTTTATGGTTCTTTGTGTGTTAGTTGACACTCCATGTGTACTTTTTTTTGAATTTTCCAATCATTAAAATAATTGTCATTTGAAAAAAAAAAGTTTACTATCATTTTTCGTTAAATCTAAATAAAAATGGGATCTGATTCGTTATGCATAGAATTACTCTATGATTTCATATATAATATTATTGATTGAAAATCCACATTTGAAAATGTAACACCCAACTAATTATTATTATTATTATTATTATTATTATTATTATTATTATTAGTATTATTATTATTATTATAATTATTATTATTATTATTATTATTATTATTATTATTATTATTATTATTATTATTATTATTATTATTATTATTATTATTATTTATGCAATTGTAAGAGGTTTGACAATATCACTAAAACCAATTAGCTTATTAAAAAATGCATAATGAATTGTACAATAAATAATTTAAGGAAAACTTTAGCACATATAACTTTTTATACTTATTGAACTTCCATATATCATTTAGTGTAAATTATAATTAGTTAGTTTTAGCAATAACTACTATATAATAAATTAATTAAATAATGTGATTAAACTTAATTTAAATTAATCATTATGTTGAAAAGTCATTCACTTACAGGTTATACAAAAGTAAAATAAAAATAGAAACATAAAGTATATTGACCGACAAAGGCGGAACAACTTAATTGTTTTAATAAAATATATGCTAGCAATTATATATTGATAACAATATAATCATTTTTTAAATGTAAATTAAATTTTTTTTATTAAGCAGGCAATTATATTTAGAGGATTTGGATTATTGACTTTTGATTTATAAACCAAAAGTTTCAAATCACATTACATTTGCGGAAATATTAATTTTCAATAAAATAGCTCAAACAATATATATACTATGTCTGTAGCTCACACTACAAAAAATTATGATATTCCAACGGAATATTCTAATAGAAAACGACATTATAATGGATATTTTAATGCTATTATTTCTGTTGGAATTTTTTAATGGAATATTCCAACGGAAATCCCAACAAAAATATTTCGTTGGAATGAGTTTTTCATTAGGAATTTCTGTTGGATTTTGACGATTCCAAAGGGGTTGGAAATAAAAATATCAATGGAAATTGCATATTCCAACGTAAATTCCTACGGTAAAAAGCCGTTGGAATCATCAAATTTCATATAAAATTCCAAAGAAAATCACATTCCAACGAAATATTTCCATTGGAATCATTCCAACAGAAGCTATACTATTGAAATATCCGTTGGAATATATTATCATAGAATTTTCCGTTGGAATATAACAATTTTTTTGTAGTGTCGTGGTAGCTCGGACAACATCCTACGACAAGTAGCTTGGACAACATAATATGGAAGTAGCTCAGGCAAGTGAGCTCAGACTTATAACAATTATGACAGAATGGTAGAGCTATACGTTCATTAGGTCGGGGGATTTATGTGATGTAGGCCGACTTATGGAGACTTGGTCAAGAAGAGGGCCTGTTAATATGAGACACGTGTAGTGATATACTAATAGAGCTAAATGATCTTATGAATAAAATTGAGTTTGCCGACCTAGGTGTAGCCATATAACCGTCGGGCAAGCATTTGTGCAGCCTGGTTGCTCGGGCAGGCCTTCGAGCAGCTGGGTAGGGCAAAGCTTGATCAAGAAACTAAAGATTCAATATAAATAGGTGAAAGGAACGAAAGGTACGATTTAATCACTTTGTACACTCTAAACTTTACAATACAAATAGTCAAATACACACAACTTTCCATAATCCTTTACTTACTAGATCATTGTAGGTTTTACGTCGAAAACACCTCTTTGCGTATTTTGCAGGTCTTTTGGGAGCAAATTGGTTCAAGAACGAAGGAGAGCTAGTTCGAGGTGCCACAACGCATAAGAATAGATATATGTTGTTATGCCACATTGACCTGATATATTGCGACTTAATATTTCAATATTGAAGCAGGATAAATTGACATACCAACTGATATTTTATTTAATACGTCATTTGTCACGTAACATATTATGTGGCAGCTGTTAATGTTTATCACGTCATGTTACAACAACAATAACAAAGTTTTTTAGTCCCAAACAAGTTGGGGTAGGCTATAGATGAAACCTAAAAGAGACAATGGTAAGAGAAACACAAAAACGGCTCAAAACAAAAGGAATAGATTAGAGCAAAAGAGAAAGAAGCAAAAGTCACGGTTCCGGCACGTTAATTGCTAGCCTCCAAACGCTCCTATCCACCGCTAAATCCTTGGAGATATTCCAGTCTTAGTAACTAATTTTAAATATAGTGAATAATGACTTAAAGTTTATGAAGTTTGTATTTTAATGTACCAAATTTGATGAGAACCAACATATATAGTTGATTAATATAGCGCACCAATTGAAAATTGTGTTAATCTATATAGTACGTAGGGTGATGTTACGGTCCCGTTACGGAACCATTCATCGAGTTTATAACCGTTAGATCATCATATAACTGTCGGAAATCGTTGATCTAATGGTTACAAACTCCGATGAAATTGTTCCATAACGGGACCGTAGCTTTTCCCAATACTTTAACTGCGGAAGCAAATACTTTAGTCATTTCCATGCGCCGAAGGCCAAACTATGCATAAATAAAACCAACATAGCTGATGAAGGAAGCCCATAAATAAAGACATATAAGGACGAAAAATAACAAACCATCACACGATTCTCATGAACCCAAAACTTAAAAAAAAAAAAATTAAAAAAAAAAAAATAAAAAAAAATCAAATCATCTTTCTTCAAGCTAAGACAACCGATTCACACAAGTTGATCCACTCCACTCTATAAAACGTGAGAACTTAACACTTAACTTCACAACCCACAAACAAACCACAACAATAAAAGTACAAGTTTTATTATAATATGCTCTGGAGTTCGAATTTCTTTATGGCACAACGATTATCCATCATGCTAGTCGTGCTAGCATATTGCTATATCGGGCTAATGCAGTATGCTGCTGCACAGCCATCGGTCGGCCAATGCATGATCGACTGTAGCCAGGCGGCAATTACGTGCACCTTAGACTGTGGGATTAGCCGAGGAGGGTTAGGGGCTCTTGCTTGTTACCAAGGCTGTGGCGCTACTGATATTGCTTGTTTAGTCTCCTGTGTTGGCACACAAGTTCTTCCTCACGCAAAGTGTGATTGAAATTTTCCTATTTTTGGGATTAATTTGCACACAATGCTAGTTTAAGAGTTTGGTAAAATTGTGTGATTTAAATAAAATATGTCTCTTTGTTGAAATAAAATATTGAATGTATTAATCTATCGATCTCTGTACTTAAATTAGAGGTTCTGAAAACTTATATATAAATGTTGTTGTGTTTTATAGTGTTCAATTCGTTGTTTACGTCGTTGTATTACTTTTAAGGTTTAATTGCAAAATATAGTCTATATCTTGTATGCAGTGGCAATAATAGCCACCATCTTTATAAATTGACAATGATAGCCAATAAATTATAAAATTTCAAAGTTATTACCTATGTCCGACCAAATTCGACGGCTGTTATTCCCATAGTGTAAAAGTATATTGGCTATCTTTTACAAATTAGCCGTCAAATTTGGCAGAATTTGGGTAATAACCCCAACATTTAAAGGATTGTTGGTTACTATTGCAAATTCGTAACGATAGTGGTTATTTATCGCCACCGCGTACAAGATATTGGCTATATTTTGCAATTTAGCCTAATTTTAAATTTTATCCATGTTTGTTAGAACTTTTAAAATTATTCAGTTGTACTTAGTCACTTTAAATTATACATATATTATTACTTTTTTATGGCACGATTGGTATAATGAAATGGAATGTCGTATGAATTGAA